TAATGTCATTTAGGAAACTGAGTGTTAGAGAGGGATGGGCAGTAGTAATAGGAAGCACATTGTCAGGGCTTGATGTTTGAGCTTGCTGTTCAAGTCTGTGTTTGCAATGTTTTGGAGCATCAGGGGAGGCAGGTGTGTGAGCCAACGTCGTTTGATAATGTCTGTCTCGCTTTGGCAGCCATTCATATAGTACAGTTTGGAGTCGAAATGCATTCCTGTAATCTTATCTTATGTCTTCTCTTGCTGCTGTACAGATAAGTGCAAATGTAAGTAGGTAGTGAGAAAGGCACTGAGAAGCTGTTTCAGACTCACATCAATTATGCATGCTGCAGGTATGTCTAATTCCAGGAATGAAACCAGATTTTTCAAAACCAGATTTAGCTTCATGGCTTAAGGGACTGCATTTTGTTGACCCTCCTGTATGACTGAAAATGACCGCTAACTGATCCTGGTTCATTTGAGGTTGTGAGACAGGTTAAAGGACTGCTATGGGACCAACCAAACTCAGAGGAAGTCTGTTCATTCCCACTTTCTCTCCAGGATATGACCTCAACATGACCCGTCGTCCGTTCTCCGGACCTGACTCAGCATTCTGAATTCCCTCATCATCCTCTGTAAAAAAAGCCCCTCATCTGGGCTTGAGACTTAACTTGTTGAGTTGCCTACTATGGGTATTTGTGTTTATTATATTTAGCTTTTTTTTAAACGTTTCACTATATCTTAAGTCAATTCAAAATTGGAGCTTGGTCCTTCGATTGAATCAACTTATGGATTAGTTAACACAATGATCTTAGTGTTAGTTGACTAAGGATTCCTGTAGTCGAAGAAAGCCATAAATCAATTAAACTCTCCTACAGGGTGCTGAAAGATTAACCCAGAGCCATTGAGCTAAGTGATTCCTTTTATTCCCGGTCCCCTCTTTATGCAGACCCAGCTCTGACTGACAGTCCACCATAGGGGGGTTATTGGCTAATGCATAAATGGTAATTCACTAAGTGTAGCTCGCCTCTGCAATCGCAGCAGGCTGAGTAAATGAATCTTGATGAAGCACAGCTTTAACCTGTTCTTACCCTTCAAACACAAACCCATTTAAGATTCAGCCACATATTTGATAGATAACTGATGATTGTTGTCAAATGTAGGCACTGCTTTATGAAAGTTTTGTGCATGCATGTTTATCAATGTATGGCTTTGTTGGCTTTGATCACATGGAATTTAGGTTTCTTCCTCTTTTCAAAAACTGTTCCTCCATAAAACACTTTCAAATTGGTCCTAGAGGAAACCTGCTGTTGGTTCAAATCGAGCAAAGAGTAAACACTGAGCTGAGGCAGTCTGAGCGCACTCTGCTGCTGCCACCTACTGGTTACACAGGAGAATGACATCGGTTTTTTAAAAGTTTTGCTCTTGGTTCATTGTATTTTGGTAAATCATTCCATTATAGAATTCGAAAAAGTGCTTCAGGCTTTAAACGTTGTTATATTTTAGGTTCATATGAGATATGTATTGTCAGCTCGAATGTGCCCAGACCTTTATCAACAAATAATGAGGGGCAAGCGGAGGCATTTGTTTAGCACTCTGCAGTGTTTGGCCCAGTGCAGAATTTTAAACAAAGCAAGTGTGTCTTTCCTTACACATGGATGTAAGGCCTAAAAGTATATAGAACAACTTTCCGTCATAGGCTAAAATATAAAATGTGTTATTATATCATGCAAAGATACTATTTATTAGGAATGTTTTATCTTAATCCCTACACTGTTTGCTGGGTTTATCAATCCTAAACTGCCTAGGTTTTGTTATGTGATTAATACACCGTTTATTTCTGATTAATAGGTTTTTTTCTTTGTGTCTCCCTGGAGATTTCATTTTCCTTAGATGGTATAATAACAGACAAATTGCTTCAAAAACAACACCTAAAAGACATTTGTCCTGAAGTACTGCATGTCTGTTTGTGCCATCAGAAAGCCCTTGTGGATCACCCCTCACAGAAGTGTATTCTGCGTCATGTTCAGGCCCTGCGACTGGAAACCTAAGTGCGGATCATGTAAATGTGTTAAGGCTGTAGTTGTTCCGCAGTAATGCCCCCATCTTTATGCTGGAGTATGGCTGCAGATTAGAGTAACTCCACCAACCTTCAGCCCGGCAGACTCTCCATTCGCCTCATATCAGCCAGTAAAGTCCTCATTGTTGCGGCCACCATTCCCGCTCCGCAGGGAGTCTTTCTGAGCTGGCTTCTCCATCTCATTTCCACTCTCCCATCCTGGTTTCTCTGTAAGGAGAGAGAAAGAGACGGTTATTGTGTCTGCTTGCACACACACACACACACACACACACACACACACACACACACACACACACACACACACACACACACACACACACACACACACACACAGGGAAGGGCTTAAGCAGGCTACCCTGCTGTGTTAGCGCCTAGCATAATGCGCGTGCTGCCCCAAGGAGACGGAGTGAAGGAGGCCGCTACCAAGCCTTAACGGAGATGTAGTAATCCCATACGGGATCAACCGCAAGGTGCAGCCACACGCCTGTACACGCATACCATCACGTCCGTGGATCAGAGAGAAATTGAACATCACAGATAGACATCCAGGGCCCTCCTTTAAGTGATGCATGTCTTTCATCATCTCCGCTGTCACTGATAATGACAGGGATTTACTCAGAGGACAAGAAGGGAAAGTTAAAGATGGAGGATAATGAGAGAAGAAGGATGCTGTTGCCAAACTGAGACCCTCAAACATGAGATGACTTCTGGACCACCACCGCTCTCAACGTTATGTAGCAAAGCACAGGGCTAAAAATATTCATATACAGTCTTTCAGAGGCATTCTATAGTGGGAATATTAAGACTTTACAACACATTATGATCATTGTGTAGTCTGAAACGATAGAAACAGGCAAACTCATACTTACATCTTCTCATGTGAAGATGACAACATGCCGGAAGCAATTCAAAAATACATTATCTTATATTTTTGTTCCAATCCACAATTTTTATTTTCTTAAGTAAGAGACTATTCTTAACAGAGCACTCTTACCGAGCTAAGAACAAATATTGTATTTTTCAGAACAATTTGTTTGTGTAATGCAAGGAGAAATACTGTATGCTTTAAATGTAAGGAACCTTAAGAATAATATAATAATAGTATAGTTAAAGTCAGGTTACTACTGTATATGCTTAACTGGAATTATAAAGATTTGCTTATTAGAGAAATCAAATGGGTCCTTTGATCCCAGTTAAGAGTAATGGTTCCTTCTGAGGATGACGCTCGAGAAAACAACACGTGAACTTTATTTGTTTATTTTACAGTACATTGATTTAAATAGCGTCAAAAAAAAATTTGGAGGCATTTTATATCTCCCAATATTTGGCTATGTGCCAAAGAAAATGCTACTTGAGTGTCATTTTTTGGGGGTCTCATTTGAAAGTATCTTTTTTTTTTAAGAAGACTAAACATTTGTACTGACCCAAAGTTATCAACTTCAGTTTCATTGATTGAATAATTGTATCTATATTGTTACATCACTTGAAATATGTATTTGTAAATATTGAGCTTATGATAGCCGTCACTTGACATTTTCATGGTCTCACAAACCGTAATATGAAGCCTTATTAGCCATAGAAGCTTTCTCTCATACTTTGTCATCCTTCTTACTGCTGCTGCTGTATCACGTAGCATTTTTTGGTCTGGTAAAGGACTTCATTGTTCCAGCTATTTCATGCTCATTTTGTGTCACGCTCTGTATCTGTCTCCTTCCTGTGAGTCCCTCTCCAGGCAAAGAGCTTTTATCATGCCGGCCACAGTTGCTTGAGTGGGTCAGAGCTGCATACGTAAAGCAGTAAAGGATAGACTTGACCTCTTTGTTGCAATCATGAAGTCTTATTGGGTCAGCGATTAGGATTTGATGAAAAGTGAGCCATTGGGGCATCAGATGCTCACAGTGCACCGACTATTAACTAGCCACGTACACACACACACACACACTCACACTCACTCCTGCAACCCTTGCCCCTCTCTTTCTTCTCTCCTGAGGGACCCAGTTAACCTGTCGCTGCATTTAAGAATAATGATAGGCTGCTGAAAGGTTAGGGAGCTCTAATTGAGTTGTAAAGCGGTTGTTGGCGAGGTGATGACATTTCTCTGGGCTGTGCTGTGTCACAGGGATCTGAGCACACGCTGGGCCGAGTGGAGGGAAAGGGCGAGGAGGCTATTCCTTTAGTGTAATCCTGCTCTGGCAAAACAAAGGCGGTTGTTGTCCTCTCTTTAATTTGGGAACTAATTATTAGAATAGTGCTGCAGCTAATAATTGTTTCCATTCTTTCTTAATCCGTCGAATATTTTGTTGATTAATCTGTTAAGTACCTGGTCCGTTAAATGTCATACAGCAAAATGTACCTATACATGTGGCTACTGTGACATGTTTCCATGCTTTAATGTTCAAAAGGGCTTTGTTTTTCTCATACTGCCTGTTTGCTTTTTTCACCCTCTGTCTGAAAACAGAGCCCAGTCTGCTCTGATTGGTTAGCTGACAGGCTCTGTTGTGACTGGTCAATTTCTTAGAGATGTCCCGCCCCTTAGCCTATCACGTGTTTCTATACTGCATCACAATATCTTGATACTTTAAAGTACCTATCATTTTGTACACCCCAAGTAAACACAATTAAGGTTACCATATCCATAAAATCGTTATATGCATATACAATATAGTCTAACATAAGACCAAGAAAACAAGAAAAATACTTTCATTTTAGACCCGGTAACGGTGGATCTTTGCTGTTATTGCATGAAATAAATCATTTTCTGTTAATAAAATCATTAAATAATAATAAAATAACAGTAATCCCTGAAAGAAAATCTACTCAAAATAAAGCCTGTAGCTTCAGTCCCTAGGTCTCGGTGTAGTAAGTAAATAGTGAAGGAAAAAAGCCCCACAATGTGACCTAATGCAGCCCTAATCATAACTCTCTTTTTCTTGTTCATCAGAAAATTCTACAACATCTGCCCGAGAAGATCTACAACAGATGGCAGTTTCACAGTATTGGTATGTATCGCTGACATGTTTTTCACTACCATATTAAAACCTTTGTCTCTCTGTTACACCCGACTGATGGATGCCACTGTGTTTGCATCTTTCCTCCTTCTTATGTAACCTCCAAGATACACTTTAGGAAAAATCATCCCCAGAGCCATGCCTAAGCCTTTCATAATAAAGAGAAAATAATCAGTCTTGGGAGGGGATGTAAATGTGAAATGCAAATGAGCACTTCATTTGAAATGCAAATAGGTAATTGAATTATGCTGCCATGATTTCAGTCCCTTACAAAAAAATGAAAAGGAAATCCTTGCAAGGAGCGATAACCCCAATTATAACTGTTGTTCTTCAGCCGTGGGCATCTAAACAGCGTGGGTCTAGATCCCGGTTGTAGATCAGCCTTCCCCCTCAGGCTTCTAATTCCACATATCAAGACTCATCTGAGGTCTGATGCCCAAATTCACCACTTCGTCATTCATTGGAAAACAAATCTGCACAAGCTTAAAGCTGCCTCTTGGCTTTTTCATGAACTCGCATAGAATATTTTCCCGGGTCACTGGTCGAGATGCTCTCCTTCCACTCTGTTCTTCTGCTTTTGAAGGAGCATCAGCAATTGAGGCTGAATAGCTTCCCGCCATACCTGAGTTTGATTAGAATTGATCTTTCTTACTTCACATCATGTTTTTAATCATTTTCTTCATCCAGTCGCTCTGCTGAAAGTATTTCAGAGGTCTTGTACAAACGCCTTGTGAGGAATGACTTTAATGTCTTGTAGTGATTGTGTGCTTTTATCCGAGGATTGCAAGGTCAGATGTTTGACACAGACCATTAGAAGCTGGAAGAAGAATCCCCACACCTTTTAACATCATTCTTACTACTACTTCCTTCTCTCCTGAGACTAAGGATCTCTTTATGTGGCTCCCAGAGAAATGTTATTGATTGATCCGGTTGAGATGGGAACAATAAAAGCACCAGACAAATACCCTTGTAAACCCGCACACAATAGACTTTGCTATGCTTTTAAAATAACTCCGCCACTTGTTCATTTGGCCGTCAAATCCCTCGGTTGAGTACCGTCTTAAACAAGACTTAAAAGTATAATATTTAACATTTCTGCAATAAAAAGGACTTGACATACCTATACAAGGTTTGTGCAATTGCATTATCCCAAAACACCCAGAAATGTCTGTAATTGTATCACGGTAACGTTGAGTATTATTTGGTGAGAATAATAGCGTCACATCCCCTTGCCCCCCCTCTAGTTGCTTCATGGGAAAGGAGGGAAACACCACATGTTAGAGAGTGAGGAATATCCAGTAGAGGCTTTTGAATTGATACGATAATTACATTTCCATCCATCATACAATGAAGTGCTGCAAAGATAAGAAGATAATGCCAGCCACCCAGATTATGACCATTCAACAAGGTCCTAAAATGATTTTGAGTATGACTGTTTTGACCACGCAATCTACGGTGGCAAATGCGTTACAACAGCCCAAAACGTTTCCATTAGGAGAAAAGCGGAAAAATCCACATTCTGGGAATATCCAGCACGTTTGCACGTGTCAGCTAGCGTGGCCATCAGTGCTGGGCTGTTATTCGTGGGTGCTTGAACTGGCCATATAATGTTAGCTACAGTAGCTGTATGTGTGGGCTTCTCTTCTAATGGTAAGTAAGCAATGCAACGTTACTAAAGCTTGCGTTACTTGCGGCTTGATCCTTAGAATTTAATGACAAAACGTGAACAAACTTAATGAGAATTAAAAAATGTGTACATTAACTTGTCCTTGAACGTAAAATCTGATTTTCGTGGCAATGTTGGTTTTTATTTGTCCCATGATCCCATGCTTCTTTACATGACATCAAAGTCAGTGTTTTATGATTGTTTTCATTGAGAGACCCATAGCGTCAGAAACAACACACTGTGCGTTTGAACACACTCCTGGAGAAGATTCATTTTTGCCCTAGCATAATGACAATTTTATCCTCAGTCCTTTATTGAAATCTCCACAGCACACAGAGACCTCATAAGTACAGTGCTGTCTGCAGGCTGTCAAGAGCATGTCATTACTCACACACACAGAAACCTCTTCCGCTCAAGGTATTTAGCAATCAGAGCAATGTCTCATGTGATTACAGCGGAACCAGATTGCCTTCATGAATGCATGTCGCTGCCAACTGATGTTAATTTTCATCAGGAACATGTGAAGCCTTGCCATTCTCTCTGGTTTGTCAGCCATCAAGGTCAATTTGCCACAGTGGAGATTGCAAGCTTTGGACTGGCTGTTGTGTTTCTGCTTGCCGTGTAGACTTCTGTGGAAAATCTGTTTTTTAGTTTCTAACAACCTTATCCACCGTGGTCACACCCCATCCCGCAGGCCCCTTCCACAAGAAATACATTGATAATTATGTAGTAAAAAGATAATTAAAAAGTAAATGAATTATACAATACAAAATTAAATTCATTGTAAAAAATAAAATAATCATAATACATTGTAATATAGAAAATAAAGAAAACAAGGGAGACAATAAGAAATATGCAAGTATACCAATAGTAAATAGTTAATGGCACCAAGGCTGCTGTAGCACTAAAGAGTCCGGGACTTAAAGGGCCAGTAACAAGGGACGTACACACAGGAACATGCACACGCACATCTAGGTCGTACATTAATTTGTACTTCTATTTTTTCCAGGTTCTATTCTGAAAAAGCTTCTACACACTGGAAATTCATTCAAGGTAAGTGCTGTTTTCCTTCCCACATGATGCACTACACCACTTCTCTTTTATGTATCAGTTATAATCGTCCCACCCTTCTCCCGTGTAGATCCGCTGCGAGGGGATCCGTCTCTTCCTGCTGTGGCTGCAGGCCCTGAGGGACAACTGTGCCGAGGAGCAGTTCCTTATCTTTGCCTGTCTGGTGCCGGGATTCCCCGCTGTGCCCTCCTCCAGAGGGCCTTGCACCCTTGACACCATCATTTACAACCCCTTCTCCAACCCCCCTGATGGTGCATATGAATATTCCTACATGTTCAAATTAATAACGAGATGGAAGTCTGAAACATACTAAACTGATATCCAGTTGTGCATATTCCTTTTGAATTGTTAACTCTCATTTCTTACACTTAACTTCATCTCTTTGTATGTGTGGATCTGAGCAGCCAAGGTGGTGCCTGAGGAGATTACCCCCTTGGTCCCGGCTGTGGTTGGAGAAAAGGTTGCAGAGGATCAGACCTGTTACATCCTCGAGACTCTGCTCAAGTACATGGTCATCCAGGTAACAACTACTTATGATTGGAAAAGAATACATCTCTTTTTGCCAGATTATTGGTATGTGTTTGTTATAATGTTGATGTCCTTCATCACAGGGTGACATCAGTGGCACAGGTAATATTCTAGTGAAGGGCTGCATATAACAAAGGAGGGACATGTGTTTATATGTGTTTATTGTATTTTTGTAACTGTGGCACAACAATTTCCTTCGGGATAAATAAAGCCCTATCTCATCTTATGTTTGTGGCTCATGGTTCACGGCACGATGCATAATGGGCCTCCAAAAGTTCGATTTATCTTTTTTGATCTCTTTTTTGCATTACACAATATATTTTTATATTACTGCGATAATTGTTTGATGCAAATGATCATACCAATGTGATACCCCGGTTTGAAGGGTCTCCTAAATTGTTCTCAGCAAGAAGCACTTACAGGGTAAAATAATCCTTCCAAATAATGCATCTGTATTGCACCTGTATATGTAAAATATACCATCACCTTGCATACTATGTGTCTGTTGTCATGAGCATGGAGTAATGTGAGGTTGTTTGTAATCCCTTTCTTGTACAGTAAGATTATAAAGCTAAATGATTTATCCGTAGTTAAGTGCGTAACGTTCAAGTCTCTGAATGTTGTACCTCGGCCAAACCATTTCCCCTTCTGTGTACTGTTTGTTGGAGGAACCTTCACAGTATTGTGTTGCAAACAATGCACTGCTGATCTCTGAGTGATGCTGGAGCCTTCCTCTCCTCTCCCTGTAGCCTGACCTTGTCTGCCTTCTGCTCTCTCTCTGCCAGGCCTCCAGTTTAGAATGGAAGAACAAAGAGAACCAGGACACAGGCTTCAGGTTTCTCTTCAGCCTGTTCAAGAAGTACTACCTTCCACATCTCTTCCCCTCCTTCACCAAGCTCACAAATCTCTACAAGCCTTTACTAGGTAAGCTGACTTACAGTATACATGCTGTCCACTGTATTTGGGCTGAAGCCTCTTTAAAGGAAATATGTTACACTAACTACACACTGTAGTTAAACTCAAGAGCAGCCATTTAAGCATAAACATCTCAATTTGACCATTTATATTGTGCAAGTGTTCAATGAGAATTAGTAAAAGGAGAAAATGATCTGTAGGACGTGGGGACAGTAAGCATATCATTACAGATCTTTTTATTGTGACAAAATCTTTATCATATTATTAAAACTGTTTTACATTTGTATCTTTGCGTTATAAGATCATTACACGCAGAAACACATAACAATTTGAAACATTATTTATGGAATAATTTAAATATAATGTATTCTTTTGGGTTGTCTGTAACCTATTCAACATGCTTCTTGTTCAAATCCAGTTTTTGTATTATTATTATTATTATTATTATTATTAAATAAATAAAACTCTTTTGCTCTTCTCCTTCCCCTCCCTCTGTCCCCATCCCTCACTCTTCACTCTACTATATTGCTCGATTAGACCTCCCCCACCACAGACCCAAACCCTTGTATGTGCCAGTGACGCGGAACAATGAGAGCACCTTCTGCACCAGGGACCAGTACCTGTCCCCCCGCGTGGCCTTCATCTCCTGGCTGGTCACCTTCTTCCTGGAGAAGAAGTATGTGAGCAGTGCTGCTGCGGCGCAGAGCGCCAAGAACGGCACAGAGGTCATTCCCAAACTCATCCAGGTGTGCACGAGAATAACATCCTGTTTATTTCTCATTCTGTCACTGAGGAGGGAGGCTGTTATGAAGGTGTTGTTGCAGCAAAACCCCTGAGCACAATCTGCAAGACACCTGGCCACAAAATACTGAACACACGTATAACTTTAGTTTCAAGAGTTGCAAACACCGTTAAAAACTATAATACACAAAAAGGGTGTTTTATTCATGTTTCTTTGGCTTTTATACCAATTTGTGAATGTATGTTATGACAGTGAACTAGAATAATTGCTTGCGGAAAAGGTTTGATTAAATATATTTTAACCAAAAGATATTAACATCTAAAAATCTAATAAAACACACAGTTGTAGCATCACCGCTGATAATCCCGTTGAAGTCCTGAAAAGTATTAAAATACTTTATAGAAGATAAGATTTACTTCTATTTATCCCAATTTGGTAACATTTTTCGTCTCTGCAGCATGTAAACAAGGCATTGTACACAATGTGAACATTAAAAAGAGTAGAAAATATAACATCTCAACATTTGCAGAAATTAAACAAAAATAAAACATCTATGAATATTGACGGTGAAATTGTGATTGACACTTTTTGGCATTGTGCCTTTACACAACACTAAATTGAGTTAGTTTTATGGGGAGGGAAAGAGAGGAATTCAATCCAGCATTTATTATTTTAATTGCATGAAGGTGAGAAAACATTTGAACAGTAATGACCAATACAGTATCTCATTCACGGAAAATACCATAAAACACAGATAACTGACAAAGGGAATTCTAGTCAATGAGACTCTAGTGTCCAATTAATGAATTGTGCAGAAGCGTCTGTGCACTAAGGTGACTCATTTCTCACTGTGTCTCCATGGTGCCAAGACTGTCACTGCGGGCAGTAGCAGCCAGGAGAAGGAGAAGGATAAGACGTCAGACGGGGATACTAACGGGCCAGCAGGGGAGCCGGAGAAGAGCCACTCCAACAGCAGCACGCTGTCAGACCGCCGGCACAGCGACTCCAGTCTGTGTAGCATCGAGGAGGAGCACCGCTATGTGTATGACATGGTGCACGCCATCCTTCTGTCCACCAGAGACAATGTGAATTTTGTCAACGAGGTCTTCCACCAGGTACAGGGCCAACAAGAAACATGTCTTGATTTGATGTTGCAATAATGAATACAATTGCAAGCATTATTTTGGGTCAAGCAGACTGAATGAAGACACTGTGATACCATGTACTACGTCGCCCTCTGCTGGCCATTTGATAACATAGCTAAAAGATCCCTTCTATTACCAGGCAACCTTTTTCAAAACCATTCATAATTCTGTAAAAGTTCAAATTAAAAGTCTATGTTTTTCCCCTAAGGCCTTCCTGCTGCCGTCTTGCGAGGCATCAGCAACCAGGAAGGTGATTAAAGTGTACAGGAAGTGGATCCTGCAGGATAAGCCCAGCTTCATGACGGAGCCTGAGGTACCGACTCCGGGAGAAGAGATAGATGGCCGCCCTGAACAGATACTCAGCTCAGAGGCTAACAGCATGCACCTACAGGTACCGAAAGCCAAATATAACAACTTAGCATAACATACAAGTATGCCTGTGATGGGTTATTATTATATTTTTTTGTGTGATTTTGCTTCCGTTACTGATATAAGCTAAAAAAAATAACACTACGGTGGTCTGAAAGTAGCATAGATAATCAAGCCATGACCATAATATATTTATACTAACAAACATGTGTGGTCTTTGCTATTTAGTAATGGGTGTGTCATAATATCTTCGCTATTGCCTACTGACAGTTGTTGAAAGTTACTAAGTTAATTTACTCAAATACTTGACCTAAGCACAATGTGTTTTATTTGTACTACTTTATATTCTACTCCATCACAGTTAAGAGTAGAATTACACTTCCCTGCATTTATCTTTATTTATTTAATTACTTTGCAGATTGAGATAATTTATAATAATAAATAATAAAACAAATATATTTTATAATAAAACAAATATATTTTAATATCAGAATATACCAATGAACAATGTATGATATAATACAGATTGAACTATCCAGCAGTATATACAGACATTGAAATAAGCCCAACCTTTCCCAGCTTCAACATTAAAAAGAGGAAAACATGATTGCATAAATAGTTATAATCCAGTAATGTAATATATGATTTTGAAACAAAGCATTAGCGACATTAGTACCGTAATTTTCGGACTATAAGCCGCGCCTTTTTTCCCATTTTTGACCCTGCGGTTTATATAACGGTGCGGCTAATCTATGGATTTTTACAGCTAACGGCCACTAGGGAACCTCCTAAATCTATGGATTTTACAGGTTACAGTCCACCACCTTTAACTCTATGGGCTCTATGGCCGGTCCGCGCCCCCCACCTTTAAGCGGCGGGCTCCAGCAGGAAAAGCTGGAGGCCGGTAAAAGAGTGAGACAGGTAGCGCGCAAAAGTAAAAGTGGAACCGAGAGTGATACGAGAGACAGAACGAGAGCCAGACAGACAGACATTACGAGAGCGAGACAGTTTGTCCCCGTACCACTGGTTGAAAACCGCTGCTGTAGATCACTGCCGGTACGTGCCGTTTAAGTTTGAAAGTTGAAAAGTTTGTGTGTCTGAAACGCTATGTGATACAGTACAGTTTACACAGCACAGTACATGTTCTGTAGCTACTATTGCACTAAATGGTAACACTTGAATACGTTATGCAACTTGTTTGTTGAAATGTTAATAAAAGTGAGCTTCCTCAAACAGCCATCTCTTTCCCGACAATCCCCTCTGTGCACGAACCCTTACATATGGTAATTAAACATTAAAACACCTGCGGCTTATAGTCCAGTGCGGCTTATATATGTACACATCATTCAATTTAGCTGCTGCGGCTTATATTCAGGTGCGCCTTATAGTCCGAAAATTACGGTAGTTTACTTTATCTTTTTACACTGTTGTTTTGCTACTTTTGTTTAAGTTAAAGCTCTGAATACTTACTGCCTACTGACCAATTGACTGGTCTGCTTCCTCTTAAACCAGTCGGCAGAGAGTCTCGGCCACAGACGCTCGTCCAGCTGGGGGAGGACTTACTCCTTCAGCAGCGCCATCAGCAGGGGCTTCTTCACCGAGGCGCAGAACAGGGACGTCAAGGCTGGCATCCAGCCCACACTACAGGTCTGACCCTGAAGGTCACTGCATTTAGGAACTGGAATCAGACATTCATACTGTATGCACGTTGACTAACTTCATCTTGCTTTTTGCTCGTGTGTAGGTGTTCCTGACCAACTCCTCCAATGTTTTCCTGCTGGAGCCATGCCAAGATGTAGCTAAACTCCTGGATAACCAGGTGGAGGTGTGCAAGGGTGTTCTCAGCATCTACCGGCACATGATCATGGAGCACACGATGAACACACAAACTTGGTCAGTGAGATATTCTGATAGTTATTCCTTTGTGATTCTTGAATGTTATTTTAGTGATCAATTCACCCTCTGGTTCTGATTGACTTTGTTCTGCAGGGAGCAGATGCTGCAGGTACTGCTGAGGATCACAGAGGCAGTGATGAAGAGGCCACAGGAAAACCAAAGAAAAGACAGCTTCGCTGAAAGTTTAGCATCTATACTTTTTAGGGTATGTCTACAGGTGCCTTTTACATTCACTGAATAACAGGGTTTACTATTCATCACAGGAAAAAGGGAGTGAGTGTGGATATGTCTTTGCTCCAGCGATTAGTCCCTCACTGTAGTTCACTATACAGAACATTCAATGTACATAATTCTATGCAATTTCCTTTACCATTATGATTTGTTACTCAGTGACCTATATTCACTTGTTGTGTGTCTCCTGGTTGGATTGACAAAAAGCCAAAGAGACACTCTACCAAATGAGATGTATCGGTGTGAAGACCCTGCGGTCACATCTTATCAGGGGATGGGATTCAGAGCTGTCTGTCCATGCTAATACATCTCTCCTCGTCTCACATTCAGACCATCATCGTGGCGTGGGTGCGAGCCAACCTGTGCGTGTTTATCTCCCGGGAGCTGTGGGACGAGCTGCTGGCAGTGCTGTCCTCTCTCACCTGCTGGGAGGAGCTGGTGACGGAGTGGGCCAGCATCATGGACTCGCTGACGGCTGTGCTGGCGCGCTCCGTTTACGGCCTGGACATGGCCAGCCTGCCTCTGGACAAACTCAGCGAGCAGAAGGAGAAGAAGCAGAGAGGACGTGGTGAGAGGGGGGGGGGGGGAATTGGGAGTGGTAGAATTTGGGTGAAACAATGTGTTTGAAAACGGACTTTTGGGAAGGTAATACTGGTTACTTTACAGCTTTGTTTTGTCATACACTTTACTTTAGGGCGGTTATTTTTATTCTATCACTTTAACATGTATGTTAATTATTGTCACAATGTTCTAAAAACAATATAAAGAAGTATTAAAATACCCACATTTGTCAAAAATCCCCTTGCACTCGACATCACTTGTATAGATCTGGCTGAGATTTCTGAACATGCCAGACATCTATATCTATATAAAAGATTACAATCTATGTGGCCTTTACATTTCTTTAGTCAATCACTACAATTAAAACACAACAACTTCAAATATAAAAATGTCTACTTTATTTTCATGGGGAAATTTGTCTCGCAGGTAGAACACACAGAGACTTAGACACACAGCTTCAGGTACAAAACACATATTTAGATGCATGAATATGCAAGTTACATCAGGACACCAACATTCTAATCAATGGAGGAAAAAAAAGCAGAACTTCTGTCTTTTTCCAGCTATGCAGATGTAGATTTTCCATTTTTCTTTGTTTTCCACACAAAATGAATACGACATAAAAACTGCCCAACTTCCATCCATCAGTGTGCACTGCTGTCAGCCACAGTGACACTTACACTAGTGGTCGCCAAAGTCATTCATGTTCAAATCCTACACAGTGTGGATTTGACAATGAGCTCATTCAGATACAGCTAAGCAACAAGAACTTCAAGAAAATGGGCCGGATCAGACATTGACAGCTACTACATCAGTGTGTGGGGTGTTATTACTACAGTGTTTTAATGGCTATGATACCATAATCACTATAACGGTTAACCCTGTTAACTGTTTTGCATGCCAGTCGATTTTGTTGGTGCTAAATCCAACTATCAAGCTGAATATACATTTGAAATGTACACTGACACCTCATGAATCAGCAAGTGTTGTTCTCTGCTAGCAGGTGCGCTCCAGGACTCCCAGAAGGCAGCAGCAGTGGCGCGTTCCTTCTCACTGAGTCGGAGAAACCAAGGGGAGCAGGGCGTGCCGGGGGGGCAGGAGCCCATGAGGATTCGCTCCGCCACTACGTCAGGAGCCCCCGGTGTAGAGAAAGCCCTTTACAATGTCCGACAGAAGGCCTCCGGTGAGTACCTGGGTATTAGTAATAGCATTAGTATCGTGTTATATTATATACCATCATAGCAGGCAATAATATAATACAAAGCTTTTATAAAACCCACTGTAAGTATGATTCTGTTTTAATCCTCTGGCTTTGTGTGGGCTTACAACAGTACTGATAAGCCCTCGGAGCGCAGCGTCAGGTTTTATCAGACGTATTGACAGGTCCGTGTACACGCTGGCCCAGGTGTCGCTGAAAGGCCAAACAACAAAGACAAAGGGGCCAGCAGATGGCCCCCATTGTTCCCCCTCACATGTCACCGGCCAATGTCAACATGTTTCCATGTCAGCTCGATTGCGGGCATACAGCACAATCCCCCCCCCCCTCTGACAGCATGTCAAAGGCCAGCTTTGGACACTTATTGTCATTACCTCAATTCAGACACAGCAAACACCTCTTATCTGATGGGAGTGTGGCAGGCTAATTATAAGTTGAGCTGGAAGACAGTAGGGTAGTAACTAGATGCAGTGCCTGTCTTGCTCGTCTTAATTTTGTCTAGACAGAATCTTAATTTGGAGGATAAAAGACGGAGACGATGCCTTTTCCTTTCTTGGCCTTCCGCCTCCCCAATTACCACCGACGTACTAAATTGACGAGCTTGTTGAGCTAGGAGCAGATGTATTTGTGCCTGAAGCATGAAGTCTTAGAAGGCTGTTGTGTGTGTGTGTTTATGTGTGTGCTGACACATCTATTATGTGTTTCGTGCATGTTTATGCACCTATTCTGTTTATTTGTATCGAGCAAAGATGGACATTAAACACTACCGCTTCAAATTCCCTTCCCTTTCTTTGGCCTAATTGGATTTCTCCCACATTGATCTTCAAAGGCCCGCAGCCCTCCTCCCCACTCCTCAGGAGAGGGCCCACACATCAATTGCACGGCAGTTTTTGATAGTTTCATTAAGAGTGTAATTAATGCTCATTAATATGCATAAATGGGAAGCAGTAGCGGGCTGCAGCGCAGACGATGTATCTCTCTTACTGAAAGGCATAATTAAAGTGTGCTGAAAGCGGAGAATAGAACTGTCCTCTTTCATTGCTCTCTTTGAGATAATGCCTGAAGTGCTATCCACACACAATGGCAATGCCTCAGCATTGACAACTGTCAAAACTTGCCTCTACTTCTGCATGCAAATTCAAACTAATATTGTTCAGAGATCTTGTCTTGATAATAGGGAAAAGGCTGGTCATATCATTATGGTACTCATTATGCTTCCACTATTACAATGACCCAGTTCAACCAGTTCTCGATCTGCCAGCCTTAGGATGGTTATCAGGTTCACCTTAAGCTCAATTGTGATATATACCAAAAATATAAAAGATAGATATTATATTGAGATAAACCATTCCATTATTTTTTCTTATTACATTGAATTTAATTATTTGTTTCCGATTGGGAAATTCAATTGGACTTAATTGCATGAAACTAAGACATTGTTGCCCATTACTCAAGAGTTAATATGCTTAGAATGAAAATGCACAAAAATGACTTGTAGGATAACACGATAACAATTCCATTTATTTTCCCTTTGCTATGAACCTTATTTATTATTCCCTTCATAATCAGATGTAATGTATTTGTGTTTATAACCATATGTAGATCAAACTCTGTATCTGCTGTGCTTTATTTACTCACACTGTACTCTGCTGTTATTGAATTCTGTCTCCTTCCCTTCACCCTTTTTTTCTGTTTCCACTGCCTTTCTTTCTTTCTTTTTCCTCTCCTTTTCTTTTTCCGTGATGGAAGCTAAGCGAAGCCAGTCCATCAGCAACTGTGTTCATCTGTACGAAGCTTTGCCCAATGCTAAAAGCGTTCCTATGCTTCTCCACACTGTGAGCTCTTTCTTGCCTGGTATCTCTTCTGGTAACTCTGCTTGCTCTCACAGACTCTCAGGTAAAGTGTGTTCTGAGAGCTGCGTGTGTTGATGTGTTTGTGACCTCCGCCCTTCCTTTCAATCCATCCGTCACTATCTGTTATAAGCTGTCAGTTCCCATGTCTGCTGTCACTGAGAGGTTTATGTTTGAACAGGAACTTCACTGCCCTGTGCTTTAATTATTGTAAAGTCTGTTAAATCTCCAGGTAGAAATGCAACTAGAGTATGTCTGCGTCACCACTGCATGTGTGCATGTCATTATTTATCTCCAAAGTTCTCATGAATATGTTAAATCTCCATCTTTACTCTGTTTTAAATCCTTAAAGACTACAAATGAGATGTGAAGGTGTGTGTTGTGCATGCTGTTTGGCTCTTGTGTCTCTGCCTGACTCCCTCTCTTCTGTTCTAATATGTGTCAGACGTGGATGAGGGTCAGCTGTCAGAGTGTGGGGGGGAGGAGGAGCTGGGAGGCGGGGAAAGCCCTCTGCCACGTAGCAGCAGCACCTCCGACATCACCCAACAGCTCTCTGACACTTTACCAGGTACATACATACAAACAACACACTGAATTGTTGTTCCGTACACGTTTTACCTCTGATATTAAAACCTTAGCCGCGCACTGTTTGTTTTAAGAAGAGATTTAGCTGAACTACCTGTAACCCATTGGTTAACTTCAAAGGGAAAAGTCATTTGCCAGTAAAGTTTCTCTATAATTAATCACAACCCCTTATAATTTAATTCAATCTAATCTAATGACTTAAATCAGTAGTTGTTTATCCTTTAATGTTTACTATATTTCAGCAGTGGTTAAGAGACTCATATTCTTAGCCTAACTAAAAATTGAAATATAACAGTCTGAAATTACTTTTTAAAAGTGATTAGTTCAAAATGTTACTTAAGTTAAAGTACAGAAATATTATCAGCAAGATGTGGCTAATGTTGAAAAAAAAGGTACTCGTTATTCATATAGGCCCCTTTCACAGTGTGACATAAGAGAGTTAGTGTTAGTGTATACGACTGGGTAATACTGCGTCACATCATAGAAGTGTAACATGTAGGGTTCTTTTGGAAAAAGGAACTCAAGTTTATTGTATTAATGATAAATTGAGTAAAACCATTTCCATTGATAGTCCGTCCCTGGATGTTAAAATGGAACACATGTTTGCCTATCCAATTAAAGTTGAAGACATAAAGATAGTAGTAAAACAATATAAGCTTTTAAGATAACTTAATTGTGTCTTTTTTGTCCATTTAAAATACCCCCTGTCACACTCCAGCCCAGAAGAGAGAGAGCTCCCCTACTTCCTGTGGCTCTGATAGCAGGACGTCTGAGGGGAAGAGAGAGGGCAACGAGCCACCAGTGGTAAAAAGAATCATCTTAATATATGGTCTTAGGTTAAATTAACTAAATAACATTTATCAATAAAAACATCTCTGCTTAAATGTTTGCTTCTGTTTTCCTAGATCCTCATCCAGCGCAGCAGCAGTCCAACTGAGACAGAGGTCACCGCTGAGGGACAGTCAAACCAAGCAAGACACAAGCTCAGAGAGAAAAGTTAGAGATTACATCACTAATTATTACTCTGATATGATAATCGCTGTTTTAATTTATATAATCCACATGAAGATTTGCTCAATCAGTTAATCAAACATGAAAGTATCTAACAGAGGCCATTCTTTGCATGTATTAATGAGTCAGTCGTTAAACAGCAAATGCCTTCCTTCTACTCTGTGTTCAACTTCTTTAAGTCCTTTGTCCACCTCATTCTCTCCACCCAGGTGAGAGTGTAAGCAGTGAGACGTCCAACGGCTACCTCAATGATGCTGAGGTCACCTGGCAGGCGTTTGATGAGGAAGCGGACACTCAGTCCACACAGTCGGCTCACATGGACGTGACGGCGGACCCCCAGAGCCAGGGGAGTCTGCTGCTCAGCCATAATGAGGCTCTAGCAGGTATTGGGACGGATAAGAGTTCACCTTGAGTGCTAAGAGAACAGATTTGGGTCATGATTTATTCAATATGTCTATCAACTACAATCAGTTTCAAAATAATTACAAGGATACAGAGCAAGGTTAACCTATTTCACTCCATCGCTCTGTACCATATACCGTAAACCTGTTTGCTCCTATTCAAGTATTATATATATAAATAAGTGTCGAGTTTATAAAGGCTTAGGACTTTATGATGGAAGTATGTGACGGCCCTCCCAGGCTCTATTATGTGTCAAGTCGTTGCGTCAATCTTTTGGTTGATGCTTTCAAAGATTTGGTGATAGATTCAACCATTGTCACACTTAATACAATGAGCAAAAATCCCTTAAAAATACCACTATAAGAAACAAATACCTGGTAGCCCCACGCAAAAATTCCTGCTGCAAACTTTTTAAATGAATAGATTTCTGCAAGATTTGCATTTTTTGGCATTTGGATATCAAGCCCATTTGTTCTGGAAACTGCTGAGAAACCCCCCTATTGTCAATGTACCTAAACCACCATATATCCTCTGAATCCCCTAAATATATCATTTGTGGTTGTAAAGTAACATGAAGTTTTGATAGAGTTCAAAACAGCTAATGTTTATACAGTGAGCTCAAGTTTCCCCAAATCACTACAATGAAAGGGCTTCATTGAGGACGAACATCATCAAACATCAATTCAACTGGGCCTAGTTCATTCCCAAAATGGTCAGATATCCAGACAACACAATTTATGCAATTCCAAAACTTTAGTAACCCTAGTGCAGAAACCATTGTTAAAAAAAGCAAATAATAACACATTTATACAAAAAAAAGCCATGTTTTTTTGCCTCAAACTGCATGGAATCAGTTTCATTTGGCTTGTCTGTAAAGGTCAGACTTGTGGTTATCCAGAGAAACCAATTTCATCAGATATGTATCTTGATGCAAATATAGCAATGCCATGTTGTCCCTCTCAGAAATGTTGCCTAACTTAGGAGCAATATTTAGTCTCTTTCCAGACAAGCTAGCATGACATAATTGATGCTAATGAATTCCTTGGATTATATAGTTTCATATACTACCCTACCCCTAGCTTTAAAACTGAAACCGCTACAAAGGTAGGTCGACTGTGGAAGAGGTAAAAACAGGGTTAGCAGTACAGCCGTAGAATTTGACCCTGTTTAGAATTCAAACAACTTATCCTCAGATTAGCTGTTAGCCATGCACGCTCAATAATGGAAGATGAGTTGAAAGAGTTCAGCGAGTTCATCTGAGGTGTGTCCCATCCAGCTGCCTCCAGTTACCTCACTGGAGGCGACAATGGATTAGCATTAGCCAGGTAGAGTGACCCGCTTTGGAAACTTTATCATCAGTATCTGCTACAGTACCTCTCTGGCTTAGTCATTTCATATTTAAACCTGCTGACAGTATGTGTTGGAGTTCATTTTGACATTTTGTGAAGGCGGTGGTCAGCGGTCTACTGAAGTATTTCTGTCATTTGAATTTTGATAGGAAAACAATGAAGATCGCTGAAACTCTTTAGCTTTAAATGTACCCACGCCTCAATCATTATTGATGTTGAGATTCTGTTCCCCCCCCCCC